TGGAGAGGAGAGGAAGAAACACAGGCGGCAACGTGGCAGGCACGTCAGCTGGGAGCAGCCCATATGACCGCGGAGGCAGCAGCGCATCTACTCCCACTGCGCATGCACACACACACACACAGAGAGAGAGAGAGAGAGAAATGCGTGTGTGTTCGGAAACGGGGCGCAGGCGCACCGGAGGCCCGGCCGTCGTCGCGCCCCCAAACGCGGGGGATTAAACCGCCGGAAGGCACGCCGCGGCCACGCACCCCTCCCCTCCCGCTATTTTGCGCAGTGCCTCACGAAGTGCTGGAAGGCGGCTTCGAAGGAGTCGAACACCTCCGTCCCGTCGCAGAGCATCAGGTTGAAGGGAAGGCCAAAGTCCTCCACAGTCCTCCCGGCCGCGTCACACGCACCGCCGTACTTCTCCCTCATTGAGCGCCGGTCGGAGGTGAAGGCCAGCACCGTCTTTCCCAGGGCAGCGGCGTAGCCCACCTCAAACGCAGTCCCGCAGTCCGGCTCGTGCGAGCGAAACGGCGACAGGTCTGCAATGACGGCGTCGCACTGCCGTATCATCTCCATGTTTTGCGCCCGTATCTCGGCGGCCCCCGTGGCCACGTTGTCCACGGGGATGAGTGGCGTGACGCCGTGCGTCTGCAGAAGCCCGCGCACACGGTCGTAGTACGCGGCCCCCATGTCGGCGTTAAACACCGCGGGGCCGGCAACGTAGACTTTTCGCATGGCGAAGCTGCCTCCGTGGCTCCTTTGCTTTGGTTTTCTCAGGCTTGAAGACAAGAGGGAGGGGGAGGCAACATGAACAGGCGCCGCCGCGGCACAAAAAGCCCCGCTCGCAGGGGCGAAGTGACGCCCGCGGGGGAGTGCGCCTGCCCCGGCCAGCCCACGCCAGGCGCCGCCCGACGAGCGGCGGGGCGCCGGGGCCCAGCGGGGGAACAAAACCGCGGCCCGCGTCGTTTGGGGCGCAGAGGGAACTCGCGCGCCCGCAGCGCCGCCCATGCCGCCGGGCGGAAGGCCCCGCAGGCGACGGAAGGGCGGTATGCACGTCACCCACCCCGTTGCTGGGGCGGCGCACCCACGCTGCGGCCGCAACGCAGAGAGGCCGCACACGCACGCACGCAGCGCACCGCGTGCCAGTCCCGTCTGTGAGTGGGAGGCGGCCCCCGCCACTCCGCCCGAGCGCAGCGCGCCTCGCAGCGGCGGCGTGCAGCCGCAGGGCTTCCTACTCCTACACGAAAAACGCGGCGCATCCCACAGGCCCGCCCTTCGCCCCATCGCGTGGGCAAAAAAGGAGCCGCAGGGACACGCCGCACCGGCGCCGACGCCGCGGACGAGCAAAGCCCCGCAGGGCCATCTACGCAGCGCGGGCGCGGGGGAGAAAGCAAGCAGGGAGAGGCGGGGGTTGAAGGCGCGCGAACGCACGGCGGGGGCAGAGCGAAAAGGACAGTCCACGCAGCCACGAATTGGCGCGCTCTGGAGAGCAAATAAAAACAGCGGGGAGCTTAGCAGGGCCCTGCAAGAGAAACAAAACTAAACCCACAAGAAAAAAAAAAGAGGAAATTATGTTGTGGCTGAAACAGCGCACCGTATGTTCCGGCGCACCGCATCCTGCGGGTGCAAGTGCAGCCCGTTCCGCTCGCCACGGCGTTCCCTTTTCACCTTCACATTTGCCGCCCGCGACGCTCATGGGCCCCCGGCAGTCCCCGCCCCAAATCTGCAGCTGCGCGGTCGGCGCGGCGGCCGGGGCCTCCATTCGCGTTTGGGCGACATAAACAAAAACACGGGGGAGTTCAGAGGCTGCTGGCAGGCGCCAGCGCAAGCAAGAAAAGCAAGAAAACACACACAAGGAGGGAGCCAGAGAAAAAAAAAAGAAAAAAAAAGAAAAAAAACGACCAGTATAATAGAAAATTATTTTACGAGTAAAATTATCCCCTTCGGACAGCAATTACTTCGCAGGGGGGCGCCATGTGAGCTCCAGCGGACGGCGGCCCTCCCCCTCGCCCCCGCTGCCCGGCAGGTGCAGCACCGCCCAACTCCCGCACACGCGCCGGGTGCCGCCTCTGCCCCGCCGGCCAACGTCCGCCCCAGGAGCCGCGGGTCTTCCTGCAGCCCCTGCAGCCTCACGCAGAGTCCTCGAAGGTGTAGCTGGCAAAGTCCTCCGCGTCCAAGTCCTCCTCGTCATCGTCTCCGCCCTCCTCAGCGTCGTCCTCGTCCTCCTCGTCATAGTCGTCCTTATCATCCTCCTCCTCGTCTTCGCCTTCCTCCTCCTCGTTGTCCCCGTACGCATCGCCATATTCCTCCTCCTCCGGGGTAAAGGCGCGGTTGAACAGCTGGGCGTTCGTCACGGTCACGCTGCCGCCGGCGTCACGCATGCCGTCGTCCGCCCCAAAGTAGAAGTGCGCGATCTCCTCGCTGTCCTTCTTCGCCAGCGCCGCGGCGTCCGCACCCGCAGGCTTCAGTGGCGTGCCGTTGACGAAGAAGGAAAAACTGCCCTCCTGGAGTGTGAGAAGCACGCGGTACGGTTTACTGGGCTCACACCTTGCGGCCTGCGCCACCGTCTCCCCAGTCCGGCTCTTCACCACCCACTTTTTGTCGCCGCTGCACAACAATCCAAGGCGGTTGCCTGCGCTGTCGGTGCCGTTGAACCGCACACCAAACACGGAGGCGCCGTCTTTCGGGTCATTGACGGTCAC